CTCACTGAAGTTAGGGGTGAAGTGTCAAAATACTTACTAAGGCCTTACAGAGATAACTCATTGACTAGATAATCATAACCTGTTCTTCCATTTTAATTTATCAGTTTTACAGTTCCTTTGAAATCCTTAGAAATAAACTTTAAGTACAAAGAGTGAACCAGTCCAGGGTGAATTACTTTACTAAAACACTAGGCCTAAATTCAAGGATTAACACCACAGAAAGAAATATTTTGTTTATCTGAGTGTACGAAAACTTGAGTGAAACATTAGCCACTTACGTATGCCTTATCGCAAAAATGCCCAATATAGTTGTTTTCCAATGGTTATTTTTAAGTCACACTGCCATCTTCAGATTAAGTATAAGACATGCAACTCAAAGCTCTCAGATGATTCTGTCATTTCTCAGTTACTCCTCTGGTTCTTTTCCAGTTTTCTGCCCTTTCAAGCCAATATGACCATTTTCAATTGAAACAGGAAAAAACCAAACCCCAAATGAAAATCTTAAAATTGGTTTTTAACAATGACAGGTTCCACTGATGAGCCTGACAGCATTTCCTTTATAGCCTTAAACTTGTACAGAAAACAGGTCTGAACAGCAAAGACAGACGATGTCCTCAGTTCACAAAAAACTATAATAAACACTTCTGTAATTACAGTAAGAGCACACTCACTTCTGGTTGTTGTAGCATCTAGTTAAAAAAAAAGGCCTAAAACAAAAGCTATGCTTTTCTTAATAAGGAAATAATTGAAAGAAGAGAATGTTATGAGCTTCAAGATGTGTCCTATCACTCAAACAGTGTTTACTCAGACTTTCTCTCTTTCATCTCTCCCTATATGTGCATAGAGAAGACAGGTGGCAGACTAAATAGTGCAGGATTTCAAAAGGTCTGGAATTTCACTATAGAATAAATTAAAGGAGTGAAATTGGATATTAATTCAGTATCAGATATTAGCAGACTGTAAACTTCTTGAAGCAGAAGTGTTTTTATTTTCATATCTTGTATAACACCAAGCATGTAATTAGCTTTTAACACGATGATAATAAGGGAAGGAAAAATGTCCATTTGCTATAAGCCTCTTTAAAAAGAGTCTAGCTTTGCACATGATATAAAGTTTCTTGAAATATGATAGTTAAAAGGCATATCTGCATCCCTTGGCTCTTTTGAGCCCATTTTAACAGGTGTGACTGTAAATATAGTTTAGAAGGATCTAGCTCCAGCACACAGAAGACAAGTAAAGTTAAAAAAAATACAACCCCCCCCCACAAATAACAGTATGCATTATTTTTTCACTTTATTTTGTAACTTTCAAATTAACATTATTCATGATGTGAAAAGTTAGCTCCTTTTATTTTATAGGCAACTTATGTAAAAGACCACCACTATACTACTTCTGTAATTTTTGTTAACACAAACATTTTAAATATCACATTTCAGTATTTCCCTTAGACATGCTGTTGCATAACATGAAGGATCGAGGTCAAATGAAAGAAAAAGTGATGCTTTCGATGCATCTAGATGACAGCTGTCTTCACTTTTGATTCCCTCTTTACTGTCTTCTAAGAAGCGATACGATAAATTGTGAACATTTTTCAAAATGTGTCTGTAACATCCAGGTATATTGAGCTGTAATGCAGACAGTCTAAACCTGCATGTCTGCAACGCATCCTCAGCAAGTATTTCATGGTACCACTGCCCAACTTTATTACTGGGATACTTGATACTGTGCCCAACCATTGGAAGAACCACCTAAAGAAGAAAGAAAAAAAAAAAAAAAAAGATATGAGCCACAAACATACTTGAAATAAAACCACTCCCTTTTCTTTCAAAACTTCTTTGCATGTGGTGTGAAGTTTCTGTAAATATGACTAATTAAAAGTCGTAATTGCAACCCTTGGCTCCTACACTTAATCACAGATATAATTCTTGCCTATTTTAGGGCTTGATTCAGCTAAGTCCACAGTACACACATTCAAAGAAGGCTATGTATGTATACAAGATGTAAATATCACTAGTACAGACCCCAGTCAAGATGCCAGTAATCTAAAAACCAGACTACCGTGACTTTTTTAGATTGCTGGGAGAAGCATAACAATTACAGAATGCGTTTCTTTGGAAGGCTCCAAATCACTATTTCCTGTGCCTTTTTATACATTAACTTTCAACTGTTCTTAAATATATAAAAGCACATAGAACATTGTCCTTTTTATCACATGAGTGAATACTTTCTTCTCTGTCTTTTCTGGGAGAGCGTATTAACCTGTAAGTGCATATTTTTTTTTTTTATTTTTTTTTTTTCAGGGATGCATTCTGGTAAAAAATAAAACTGCATCTTTCATTTAGTTGCATTATTTTTTGAATACTATTTTCATTAATTCAACCCCCTCCCTGAAATATTATTTTTGAGAGAAACTTACTTGATGTATTGTATAATTGCTAGCTGACTCTTCTGGAGCAGTTACTATGTGGACCTGGCATTAAAAATTAAAAAAAATACTTATTGTTTGACACAACAGAAAAGTAGACTGTGGAACAAATCATGTACTATATTCCACGTAGCCCTCCAAATAAATCAAGGATTCTGACATATTTGACTATAATGAAGAAAGATTATGTTTCAACTAACAACAACAAGCTGTTTAAACACAAAGTAATAATTATATTAGGAATGAGCTGATGCACAGGAGGGAAGCTGGTTGCCATATATCAACACCTCTGAAAAAAGAAACAGATTGATTTGCAGGTCTTTCAGACCCACACTGAAAGAAACGTACAACAGAAAATGATCACCAGGCTTCATACATACATAATCAATCTGGCCAAGTCCTGATCCCTGAATCCACACCTTCACTTTGTTTCTATTCTTCCCATGAACACACCAAACAGGATGGAGCTTTAACAGTATAGACATCACATATGCCTATTTGTGGACAACTGAGAGGGGGCTAAGCTACTTTACCTACCATTAATCAAAATAATTAATATTTAAAGAAAATAGCAAAGGTAGTATAAATGGGTTAGAAACCTTGTCTAAACATAAAATTGGGACTTCTGCATCTTAAACCACGTAAGTGTGCCAAGCTAACTTTTACAAGGAATATTGTTTACAAACTCAAAACTCACTCGGTCATTCAGAGAAGAGCTTTCATCAACATTTTCTTCAGAGAGGACTAAATCACCCTCTACTACTTTTGACCCATAGATCTTAAACCTATAAGATGCTGCTGCATTCCAAATTTTACTGCAATACGCATGAACATAAAATATGCGCATGGAATGAGGAAGACTGAACCATGCTCGTGTACAGCCCTCATGGTTCACTCCATAGCGATTCAAGGCACGAAGTATCATCTTCTCTCTTACTTTAAATTCGGGCATCCTTGCAAGAGTGCCCTTTGCATCCTCTGGAAAAAAAGATACAGAAGTAAGGGGCAAATTGATCATTTTTCAATGTTGTCTACTTTGAAAAATAAATTTAACACTAAAAGGATAAAGCAAATCAGGTAGGAAATAGGTTGTCAGACTAACTTATTTAAACTGGCTTTTTGTTTATTACTCCCCAGCTTTCAATCTATCATGTCAGACAAATTCGATCTTATGCATCTTAGGCTTAGTAGCCTAAGTTAATAATTCCATTTTCTGTAACTTACACAGAATATAAATGAAACTAACTGCAATTTGTTTGCTAGTTCAATTCAAAGAATGTCTAGTTCTTTGGAAATAAAGATGCATCATTTCCTTAAGGATTCACTACAGAACTTGATGTGCTCAGTTTTAGGCCCCTATTTTTAAATGGCTCCTTTCTCCTGTACACAAACAGTTTTTGCATCCACAAAGTGTATAAATGCATTAGCATTTCCATAGCTAAGTGCTCTGATTTGCCAAAACAATAAGTGCCAAGTCATTTCAGGGTGCACACTTTGTGAGAAGAAAAAATATCATGCTTGGTTTATATCACAGGTACAAACTGCACTTGTCAATAGAGTCTGAGCCTGGTTAAAAGTTTATCCCATCATGTTCCTTCTACAAATGCACTGTATTTGTATTTTCAATTTTTATATTTCCTTCTTTCCTTTGTAATTTTCTCAGAGAATACCTGGAACAGCATAGCCATTTACTTCTTGCTTTGGAAAAGGCAAGCTGATGACTTTGGAGGCCATGTCAAATGTATTTTTGTGCCTCATAGACTAGCATAAGGCAGAAAAGTTCACCTTATTTAGTCTGCAAAAATGAAGCGCATCCGCCCTCCCCTGAAACCACATACCGTAACTAACTTGTCAACATACAATAACAAGCAACTGTAAAAATGTGGGGGATCTGATAAATGCATTTGGAATTAACAATGACTCCAAGATTTTTGGCTTTGAGAGTATATTTAAGATGGATAACAGCAGAAACACAGGTGTAAGAAATAGGTCATTTTAATTTGAAGACAGATTCTAGTCTATGGCTGGAGGCAGGCATAACATTTGAAAGGCAAGCATTCAAACATATACATGGAATAAAACACTCAAAATGTGACAAATATACAAAGAAAGAGCAAGTATTATTCTGAACTGTATATGTGCATGGTAGTGCGGTTCTTCAAGCATCAAACAATGCAGAGCTCTTCTCATCTTACTGCCCACCCATCTTCCCACCTCCTGGCTGTTGTTGCTACTCTACAGACTCTCAGTTTTAGGTGCTGCAGGGACTGCCAGAGCCAGGAGACTGCACCACACCCCCCATCCAGAACCAGAATTCCTGCTCTCTAGACCCCAATTCCCATGTACTTCTCCATGTTTGATTTCAAGTATCTGGCACAGTGGCAAGGGGTCTCCTGGTTTTGGCAGAATGCAGTGAACAAGATAGCACTCAATGACAATCAGACCAAGGAGAGGGGGCCTGCAGGGCTTCACTGACAGTCCACTCTACTCCTTCTGCCTTGAGCAGGGAGGGAGGAGTGGAACTGAGGATAAAGCACTCCAGCCAGGAGGTATAATGGGGAGGGCTGCATGTCTCTCCACGGTTGGAGTTTTGTTTTGTTTTGTTTTGTTTTGGGGGGGGGGGTTTGAAAGGTTTCAAACTCCATTATATTTTAAACACTTCACAATGTTGTGTCTGTTTACACCTTTTTATGAAAGTTTCAGTGTTGAGTTTAAAATAAGACAGGAATTATGTCAGAGATTCAATGCAAGGGACATAAAGAATTGAAAATCAATTCCACAGAACAAGAAACAAGGACTTGTTTATTAAAACCTTCTACTGGAGCAACTCTGTAGTTAGGAGAGATGTTAGATGAGCTCATCTAACATCTCTCCTAACTACAGAGTTGCTCCAATAAAAGATGTCATCCAAAAACAGATTTGTCTTTTGCACATTGCCTGAACCACCACTACTGCAACAACACTCCAGTCTCACTAACTGCATATGTAGCATGAACTGAACTAATGTAGCTGATGTTAACATAGAGTGTAATAATAGTGAAATGTAACCATGTTAGTCTTGTTCTGTAAGCAACTTGAAAACTCCATTTTGTATCCTTCTGCTTGACATAAGTGAATGAACTCTGAATAGCCTCTATGTATAAGTGTGTGTAAAAAGGTGAATGGTGAGAGAATGGCATAGAGACAGGAGAAGATTTAAGTGTTTATGTAAGCAACAAGGCATCAAATATAAGTTACCAGCCAGTAACTAACTAACAAATGGCTGAAGAATCCCTTTGAAGCTCGAGGGCACAAAGGAGATAACAGAAGAAGAAATTCTGCCAGACAGGCAACAAGAACACTCCAAGGCTAAGATAAGCTGAAGAGAAAAGAAAAACAGCCGCAAAAACAAAAGCTAGGTATAGAAAAACCCCAAAGCACTGAAACAAAGGATGCCAATCCCTATAAAAGAACACTTTAAAAATGCCAAGTTGGGTGAGTCTCTTTCTCTACTGCTGTTTCATTGGAGCACAGATGCATCTGTTCACCACGCTCCAGCTGTTATCTTTAAATCTGCTATCTTCAAATCATCATCATCTACTCAATAAGCCCAGGTTGGCCACCCTGGGCTGATATTGAGCAACTACTGCTGGTAACTATATCTGGTGTATGTGTGGATGAAATGGTTGTTTTGTGTATGTGTATGCCTGTGTGTAATGATGTGTACGATGATTTGTGTATGTTTGTATGAATGGTGTGCCCAAACCTCTATGTCTAACTCATCTAATCAATAAACGCAGCACCTTGCCTTATTCCCCTTTATAAAGTCTTGCTCGTGATTTGAGCAATTGGCAATTTGTGTAACACATAGAAGTAATTTCCAACAGGAGGCCCAATGGCAAAGCAATTAAGGAGTCTGCTACAATTCCAGAGACAAGTTTGAGCCCCAATCTGAATTTATGCTGAGGCTGCCCAACTCCCTATCAACCCAGCTATATCTGGGTACTGGTCATTCAGACTGGGGAGGAATGTGATGCTAATCTTAGTACTTCCTTGTGTGCTTTCTAGCTACAGAAATGACCAATTCTTTACACACTGACTTGATGGACTAGTGGGCTCAGGAAGCCTTTCATTTTTTTTTTTTTTTTTTTTTTGGAGTGTCCAATAAATATTGTAAACAACAAAAGTTGTGGTTCACAGGAAGCTAAGAGAGCTTAACATCTAACTTGCATTCAGTTTCAGTTGCAACTGGGCCTACAACTCTTATCTTCCTCTGAAACTCCTCACCAAAGATTATGGTATTCCAAATAGGGGGAGAAAGGGCAGTCTTGAGACACCTTTCCAATCTTTTTCAGTAAAGTCTCCACTAGAAATGAAGTTTCTCCACTGCCCTGCACCTTGGGAAATGGCAGCATCTTCTATTCATTTTGTACAGAGTAAAAAACAGGGATTGATTTAGGGGTGTAGGTTGTAGCTGTGTTGGACTAAGGATATAGGCAGACAAGGCTCTTTTCTTGCATGCACACCAGCCTCTGGCTTCTTTACTATTCATTCCATTCAGGAAGAGCGCACACACTAACTGCAGATGCTTCCTCAGCCTGACAAAGGGTTTTTAAACCCGAAAACTAAGAAATTTTTTTCCAACTATTTAAGTTGGTTTAATAAAAGGTATGAGATTCACCCAAAGAACCTTGTCCGGGATTGATTTAGAGCATTCAGAGTTTTAAAAAAGAATAAGTCAGCACAAAGTTCAAAACAGTATTGACAGGAGATGTACATGCCACAGGTAGTACCAAAGGCACATCTTCACTACAAACAGAATGATTAAAATGTAAGACCGCATTAAATTTAAAACATGTTAAAAGATGTCCTTTTTGTATTTTCAAAACAATATCTTGTAAAGTAAATATGACTTCAAGACAAGATGTGTATGACAAAATCCTGAGATGTCCACTTGGCTTTTACTCTACTCTCATTCTGGGACATTCAAACTGGTGACAAGGCAGCACTGAGTAACAGTCTCAGTAAATCTTAAATCACTGTGAATTTAAACTGGAATCCATATTAAAACTTAATGAAAAATTGCTTGGCAAATTAATACAGAAAATACAGTGGTGTTATTTTGATAGTTTGTTTGGGGCCTGATTCCCCATTTATGTTCAGCAATAAACTCCATTAAATCCAGAGGAAGTAGTATGATTGGCATAAATCCAAAGTGAGAGAAGAATATGAACCTTACTATGTAGAAGAACTTTCATGAAGCATATTTTAAAAGTGAGACTTACCAGTCTGAAGAAAATATTTCTTTGCCTGGTTTACAGGATCATCTGTATCTTCTGGTGTGAAAAATAGCTTCACAGCTTTTACCTTGAAAAATAATACATTAAATTATACTGTCTCTATTTTAGAGCAATTAACCGATGAAGAAACCCCCACCTGTGAGTTTTTTGGTGGGATACTCTTTTGTAGTGATTCTCAACCATGGTGCCAGATATCTCAAACCAGAGATCCTTTTTCAAGGGTGCCTCAGGATGCCACACATTATTAGCACTGTTAGGTGTGCAAACATAAAGCACAAGATAAAACCAGAGATTTCAAATAGGAGTCCACAGTATTAAATACTTTTTAACTTGCTATGTTGTTTCTGAGTTCTTTGCAACAGAAGAACTGCTCTAATATTTTTCTGCAGTCAAAAAAAGCCTGAAAACTAAGCACTGGCATCTTCCAAGGGGTGCTTTGAGTCTAATGAGGGGTGCCTTGAATCTAATGAAGTTGAGAACCACTATTAAATCTCAGAATCTGACCGTTCCTTAAGTGTGATGACTCACATTCTCTTCTTCTTTCTATCTGAAGTTCCAAAATGCCCCACACATGAAATAAGAGGATCTAGTGCAAGGATGTCAAACATTTGGTTTTTGGGGAAAACTGGGCCTGCAAAACTGTGTCCTAGGGTCCATGGGGCTGATAAAGGGATCAGGAAATTGAATGGAGGGCAAGCGGGAGTGGGGCCACTGAAATTTGAGGCACAGAGTCCTGTTTGCAACTGGTGTCAGCAATACAGCACGAGTAAAATTTGATTAACTTCTGCTGCCCCTTGTCCTGCTGCTGCAGCTCACCCTGCCACTACACCTGGATCTGACCTGAGGAGCGGGATGAGTCTGATACCCTGGTCTAGTGCAGTGGTTTTCAGACTTTCTGAGTCATGGAACCATTTCATACCACTTCTTCTGCCACCCCTACTCCCCATAAACTATTATGGAACCCTAAGTTTCTGCAGACAGTCTGAAAACCACTGGTCTAGTGCATTCTTCTCTAGGTTAGAAGGAAGGGTTTGCAGTCACGCGGAAGGCTAGGAACGGTCTTCAATCTTGCAGAGGGGATTAGGACAAGACAGAAAACCACTTCGCAACCTTTAAAAAAAAAATTACACTTAATATTTAACTTTAGACTATACACCACTGTAGAAAGTGATTTTGCAATCTCTTCAAAAAATTACTCTCACTGTTTATGTCACAAATGAGATGATTGTTCAATGGGATGGTCATCTCCAACACTAGACTCAGACATTACAATTGTAACTGTGGAAAGAGCTGACTGTAGCTATTTACATTGTGAAATAAATACCATTTCTTCATTCAGCAAAGCCAGTCCAATTTGATCTGTCCGAACATTTTGTCCCTGCCCAAATCGCTGAGGTCCATAGTAATTTACAAATCCGTTAGTCTACAATTAAAAAGAAATAAAAAATATGTTTAAAAGTATGAATACCTATTGAACATTAAGTAAATACATAACACAGTACATTTACATTCAGTTTTCTTGTTACAAATTATTTTTACAATGAAAATGAGAATTCTTTAATAGTATCAGTATGTAGTTCATTAAAGTTTATAAACTGCTCTACTTAATTACAGCTCTTAACAGTTTCTCCATTTTACAAATGAATAAAAAGGGAGTCTCCTTATTTTTAGAAGCACCTCACACAAGAACTTTAACTAAGCACAATGGGAGCTATAAGTGCACTTTTGAAAAACAGTAACTGGGTGCATCTACACATGTAATTAATGCAACACAAATTCTAGAGCCGTTTCACCTGAGTCAACAGCTCCTGGGCACAGCGTCTACATATGCACCCGGGACAACAGCACTTTGGGCAAGGTGCAAGCAGCCTCAGGTGGGCAGGGAGCACCGCTGCCATACAGGCTCCAAGTGGTGGCATAAGGCAGCAGAAGGGACGGCTGGAGCACAAGGATGCTGATAGTGCAGGGCCATGGCTAGGTGGCAGGCAACCCCCACACTTCAGCAACCTTGTACCCCTGGTCAACTCCTATCAGGGTGGATAAAAATCAATAATTTAAAAAAAAATCAATAAATAAATAAAAACAATTTTTAAAATGGATTTTTTATATTTAAATTGGATTTTTTTGTATTTAAATCAGATTTTCTTTTTAAAAAAAATTAAATCAATAAAATACTAAATTTCTCTCTCATTTTAAAAAATAAGTTACAATTAAAGCTCATCACAAACATGCTAAACCTACGCTTAGTCTCATAAAAATGAATTAATGGCTCTGTCACACTCGCATATTGACTTGCCTACCAATAAAACATGGGCATTGGGGCTGTGCGAAGCTTTGCTAGCTGTTTCGTTTCGATTTAGCTGTTTTGACCTTGAAACGAGTTGAAACAGCATGGGAACAAAACAAGCTGCCCCATGGAGTTCAGGCCAGTGGTGAGAGGTGGGCAGAGCCGACACTGCGCTCTGCCTCCCACCACTGGGCTCAACTCCCAGCGCCAGTCCCAAGCGGTAGCCTCCTGCCTGCACCCCCAGGAGGGCTGCGGGGCTCTGCCGGACTCCTCTGGGGGTGCAGGCCCCCAATCTGCCTGTGACCACAGGAAGCTGCTCCTCCTCCAGTTTCGTGCTTCCTCATTATAGCCTATGGGTGAAACATTGAAACAGCAAAAGTGTTTCGATGAAACGAAACAGAAAAGTGCTTTCTAAACTAAACTAAACTTGAAACGATACCCTGTTCCTTCGAAATGTCGAAGAAGTCGAAGCGGAACGGTGCTGTTTCACATTAAATGGGCATTCATTTCAGTTTTTCATCTCATGAAAATGGCTCTAGTCTGTCTGTCCAGCCTAACTACCAGCTCTTGCTTCTTGAAAGTTCTGGGCTTTCAGTTTCTGTTTCTCAGCGGACTAAAGTCACATGTGCAAAGACCCAGGCTCAGTAGGATTGTTGTTGTTCTATGCTTAGGTGGTGATGGAGCTGGGCCAAGCAAGGCAGAGGAGTTAGTTAAGACACTGTCTTAAAGACAGAGACAATATAGGAAAGGATGGAGGCAGAGTAGAAAGGAACAGTGGAGTGGACTGGAAAGAAAAAGGGAAGACATTATTCAGTAGCACACGCACAGCTTCCTATATTCCCCGACACTTTTGCCACAGAAAAACTTCTAGGCATAAGAGAGACCCTATCTAGGAATATTTTGAAGAAATTCCTTCCCTGGGTAAAAAAAAGCAAATGTGTTAAGTGTAAGCAGTGCAAGAAGGAGATGCAGGGCCTAGTTACAAGAATGAAACATCATAATGAAAGCTGCTTATTGGGAGAAAATGATGTGAATGAAGATGTGGGTATGTCTGAAGAACAATATGGATCAGCTGGTTAGTAAATTAAATAATGCACTTTGCAATGCATCATTCTTCAAGACTCTCCCTATGCCTTTTAGTGTAAGTGTGATTTAACAAGTAAATTCCCAAGCTGTTTGCCATGTTGGATGCTGCTAGAAAAAAAAGTTTAGCTTAGCTAATCCTTATGGCTTGTTTAATTAGTTAACCAAGTTTAGAATCTATCACCCAAGTTTACAGTACAGAAAGCTCCAGGAAGAGAAATTTAGAAATCTAGAGTTGCTTGTTGCCGCTGGGTGTCATTTTCTTATATTGCATAATACATGCCCCTTATTTTGGAACATCAGGGCCCCAGACCATAATGGTGATGCCATAAGTCCATTCTCTATTTTACTTCAGCATAGATCAGCTTTCCCAAGGGAACCCCATCCTATACTGGTTTTCTCAAAAAACAGAAGTGCCGGTGAGTTCAATGGGGCTTACTCCAAAATTAGGTGCACTCTAAATGCAGTCAGTCTTAGCTTTTTTGGTAATTTGGAATCAGATCCGCATCCTAGCTGAAAAAAAAGTGAATGATTAAATGAATAATAGAGTGAGAAGAACTGAGAAGAATGAGTATTCAAAAGTAATTTTTGTTTCCAGATCCCATTTAAGCATAAGAGACTTTGACTGTCTATCTGCAACACCTTCAGAGTCATCCGTTGGTACTTTTAGCAGCAGTGCTGCAACTAAACATATTTCAGACAACAAAGTATCAGTAGCAAGAAAAAAATTTCAATCATCCAGTAAAACCACCACCATGGATGGGTTTGCAGTAAAGACCAGCAAATACCAACAAGACACCATAGATAAAAAGATTGCTTGGTTCATTTATGCCACAAATTCTCCTTTTTGCATTGTTAACAATAAACACTTCATTGACATGGCTGAGTCCTTACAACCAAGCTACACTTCCACACTGGTGGAAGGTTGCTAGATACAGTGCATGAGAAGGAACTTGAACAGTGTGCAAGAAATACGGAGGGGAAATTTGCCAGTTTAAGCCTTGATGAGTGGAGCATTACACAATGACCCAGTAATACGTGCCTGTATGACAACAGAAGATGGGGATTCATATCTATTGTTTCTGAAAGATACATCAGGAACTGCCCACACAGCAGAATATTTAAAGAAATGGCAGTGAAAACGGTAAAAAACTGCAAACAAAAACTGGACCGTCACTTGCGCAGTTTTGGCACAGACAATGCTGCAAACATGGCAAAGATGAGAAGATACTTAAAAGAAGAAACGGAAGGATGCTCCTTAATAACATACGGCTGCAGTGCCCATTTAACGCATCTTTTAGCCAAAGACTTAATTACTTCTCCAGAAATAAAAGAAAATGTTGTTGAAGTCGCAAAATACTTCCATAACAACCATTTTGCTTCAGCTTCACTGAAGAGAGCAGGAAGATCCAAACTAATTTTCCCACAAGAAGTTTGATGGAATTCTGTGGCTGATGGTTTTGAACAATTTATTAAGAACTGGCCTATTCTCATAAAAATTTGTGAAGAAAACCATGATAAAATAGATGGAAGTATCTCATCCAAAGTATCTAACATTGGATTAAAGAGAAAAGTAGAGGATATGCTCGGTATACTGAAGCCTATATCCATAGCCTTAAACAAACTTCAGAAAGATTGTTGCTGCACTGCTGATGCTGTCGAAATTTGGAAGGCACTTCAAGAGACACTGAAGAAAGAAATACGTAACTAGAAAGTTAAACTGAAGGCAGTAAAGATGCAAATGGATCAAGCACTAACTCCACCACATTTTCTTGCAAACATTTTCAACCCCAGATATAAAGGAAGATGCCTAACTTCTGAAGAAGATGATACTGCCATTGCATGGGCATCTCAAAATCATTCTTCAGTTATGTCAGTCATAACAAATTTCAGGGCTGGAGGGGAACTATTTAAACAGTACATGTTTACTGATGATGTTTTGAACGAAGTCACTCCCTTGAATTGGTGGAAATCATTAGCCAGGCACCTTGCAACCAAGTTCCTTCAGTTGCTAAGCCAACTTTTCACAGCAGTAGCTCTCTCTGCAGGCACAGAGAGAATATTTTCATCATTTGGTATTATTCACTCAAAGCTAGAAAATCGACTGGGAGTTGAAAATGCAGGAAAATTCATATTTCTGTTTCAGTCTATGAATAAAAATGACAGTGGGAGTGGGGGAGATGAGAGTAGTTGTAGAAGTTTTAAGGATAGCGTACGTTTAGTGTTGTGATGACTTGTCTGCTAGAGTTAATAAAATTTGAAAATTTAAAAAAAATGTTTTTAAGGACAGATGTTATAAAATGCTATATTGAGTTGTAAACTAACATGTTTTAGTGATCAGATTTGCACCACTGTTTAAGAAATATGCGAAGAAGTATCAGTGGGAAATTTGATTTAAATCAATGATTTAAATTGAGATTCTCTCTTGTTGATTTAAATTATGATTCAAATCAATCCACTGTTTACACACCCATTTCAATGCAGTTACTGTTTCTGTTGTAAGGCAGTACTGTCGCCAACAGTACTATTTTAGGGTGGAGTTAGTTAATTTACTGAGTCCTAAATACTACTGGCATGTGTAGATGGCAACACTTTACTGTGGAGCTAGTCTATTCTGCAGTAAAGTGCATGTGTAGATGCATCCACTGAGAATGAGATGCACAAAGGTACTTAGCTAGCTAGCCATCATAGATTTCTGTGGAAAATTAATGCCAAATTAGACATTAGGGGAATTTACACACATACTTTTCTGTCCCGCAATGTGCCAGAGATCTGATCTGCCTGTTCAGAGCAGGCTTGATTAATTGAGTTTGCTCTGCATGCGAGTTGAGGCATACTGCACTGCACGTAGTTGTATAAGCTGCAAAATGCACGTAAGCGCGCAGAAAACAGCCACGGTGCATTTTTTAACTAAAGCACTTCCAATATGGTTTCATTCAAAAATGCGCCGCTGCTATCTTCTCAGAGCTGTTGTGCATTTTGCCGCTCATACAACTGCAAATGTTGCAGCGCTAGGCACTTTTCAAAGCGCCCAGCACTGTGGTTCTTACATGTATGAAAATGCACTAGGTGCTTACATGACTTTGAGGATGTAGGCATGAATGACTTGTTAAACCACATGCACACACAGGGCCCATCCACACATTAATGCACAGCAGTTATTGTGCATTTAGTTTAGTACTTCCTTCGTGAAGTACTAAACTAAATGCTCAGTAACTACAGTTACTGCACCGCAGCACTGGCACATGTTTTTTCTGGGATGCTTATTGCATGGTAGCCTAATAACACTGAGCAGTAGCATATTAGCATGGTTTTTGACTGGCATGCTACTGCACGGTATTATTAGGCTACTGCATAGCAAGTGCCTCATGTAGACATGCCCAGGAATTCACCAGGAAGAGAAGCTTCTCCACACTCCCTCTCAAAAAGCTAAGCTTCTCCATGAAAATAAACCAAATAAAAATGTTTCTGCATACATTAATCATTACCTACTGTATATCACATCAAACTAAATGAGTATTTTCCATGTGCCAAATGCTTAAGTCGCACAGAGTTCCCATTGAAATCAACATTGATAGGAGTTTTGCCTCAGTATGATCTGTATAAGAAGATTCAAAACACCTAAGCAGTGGTTGCATTGAAACAGAACAGAAATATGAAGTGATGCTGGATATTTTCTCCTTAAAAAAACAAAAAACAAAACCCAAAACAACCTCTTTTCATGAGATGACTCCATCTCTTAAGCCAGTGATTAGGATTTTAGAACTTCCTGGTGAGGGTTCTGACTCTTTGTCAGAATAAAACCAGGCCAGGGAAATTAGTTGCATGACCCACTGAGGGCTGAAATACAGCGCAGCTATAAAGGTTTAAATATGCTCAATACTAGGTTAGAATCCACAGGTCCATTTGTACACATAAAAACTGAAATCCCAATGCTGAATTAGTTTATTTACAGCCAGGACACAAGCAATTTAATCAATCAGCATCCAATATCTGATAGGTTATTTCCCTTTTCCACTGCCTTGTACAAAATGAAATCAAAAGTAGCATGGACCAATTAAAGCAACAGCTGAGAATTTCTTTGTGAAAATAACATCCAAAAATTTCTAGAGTATAAATAAATTAGAGAGGCTTCTTCTCAACTTTATCTTTATTCCTGAATTAATTATCTTGAAACAGCAGGTATGATGACCATTACTTAGCAAAGAAGAGAAAAAGAAAGAAATATTGTTTAGTATAATACATGCAGATAAAATTATTTCTCTCTCTTTCTAACATCCCTCCACTCTTCTCACTAATTCAAAGTTCCTGTCAAATGACTTCCTTTAGTTAGTCAGGACAGGTCCTGTCAGAAGCTACAAGAAATGCCATGAAATTTCCTTTTCTACTGGCATTTTCAATGTTATCTTTTCTATGCAATGCCCATGAAAATCTGTGCATTTTACATAAACAAATCATGCATTTTCCTATTTATTCGATTTATATGCTGCCACTCCCAACAAATGTAGGGGATGGTGCAGGTACATCACAACTATCTTTGTCTCTAAATTGTCTCCAAGTCTCTTCAGTTTATTTGCCATATCCCCATCTATTGTGGCATCCACATTTTTATTTATTCAACATTGCAGCCATAATAATTGTCCTCCTTATTTAGAAAGCTGATCTATTCCTGGTTCCTTGAACTGAGAAAACAAGCTGAAGGGAAGACATTATCCAAAACAGGTAAATGTTGCCACAGCCAACAAACGAGAGAGAGAAGATAGAATGAACAGGCAGACAACAAAGCACATTTGTTTTAGTTCCAAAAACCAAATAAACAATACTTTTTTTTTTTAGACAGGGCAAAAATATTGCAGTGTTGAAAATTAAATTGTGGAATTACTTTACCTGAATGTTCTCAATTGCTTCTGATATTCTCTCTTTCACATCTGCAGAAGAATCATTTTGTTGGAGCCCTAGATCTCTCACAGTTATATCAAAGTGATTTCCCTTCAGCTGACCAAGCCTAAGGTGCTGGCATACTCTGTGAATGTTATACACTTTCATTCCCTTTTTTACAATTGCTGTTCCAACTTTTTTCATCCTACAAAAATAATAAATTGGGAGTTTGTGAAAAAAAAGTCTTTTATTAAAAATATTCAACGTAAAAATGTTCCCTACCTCAGCACTAATCATGTGTGAAGTTAGGATACCAAGTAGTTGGTGCTCAAGGATTTTTACTGCATCTCATAGGAAGTCATGACTCTGGATATTTAGGAGTCTATGATTTAAAAATTAATCCCTTTGTGAAGATAGTGTAAGAGTGATGTTGTAGCTATGATGGTCCAGAAATTATGTGAGATGTAAGGATTTCTTAGGGTGATCTGTTTTATTGATCTACTTGTAGTTGTGATAGACTTAGATAGGCTTTTGAATACAAGACATATTTCATCAGGTGACCTGACAAAGAATGTCTTGCATTCGAAAACCTGTCGTCTAACTACCTCAGCTACATAGATGATCCAATAAAACAGATTACCCTAAGAAATCCTTGCCTCTCCCTTTGTCAAATGATTCTTGGAAGAAAATATGATTGATTACATGAAGGATATTGACAGTCTTCTTGAGAAAGTGCCTGGTGGTATAAAAGTCACATAGGTGCTTTCAAATTTTTCATAATATAAATCACATCTAAATTGTCTCTAACAGCGTGTGTAGAAGAAATGGGGGCCCTAAATTGAAGCGGTGGGTTTTTAAAAACACCGCTTCAATTTAGGGCAAAGTAAACCACGTGTCGAGTACACCTGTGTCTTAGCTGCCTCTCCGGCAGCATGGAGGGGACGGCGAGCTGCCGGCGAGTGGAGCGGACCCTGGGCTGCAGCGGGGGGGAGGGCTGGTGGTTCCCTCAGCAGCAGCAGTTCCTTCCCAAGCAGCACCTGCCTGCAGGCACCCGACTTGAATGGTCCCAGGGGGACACCACAGCCACAGAGGGAAGGACCGGGTCCCTGTGCAGCTCAGGTAGGCAGGCAGGCTCCAGGGGGGAAAAAAAAACAAAAACGGTGAGACTGATATTTTTTCTTTCCTTTTTTTTCTCCTTCAGTGGAGCCTGCCTTCCTGGGATGCTGCCAGGCTGCCTGCACGGGCTGCCTGCACAGTCCCTGAGCTGCACAGAGCCCGGTGCTTCGCTTTGTGGCTGTAGGGCAGCAAACTAAAACTCCTCAGAGGTATTTTAATTTGCTGCACCCCAAAGTCATTTAAGGCACATTATGCCGCCGGATGTGCTACAGTGGCTGGAGTTAATGCATAGTACACTGTCGACGTGTGCAAACACCAACACCATTAAAGCAGTGCCAAAGCATTTAACCCACTTTAAAGTGTCATGCACACATGCCCCTTGTTTCGTCTACACATGCCCTAATAATCCCCTGCCATTTCACAATGTGCCCATGGCCTATCTTGCCTCCTGTTTAGGCTTAAATGATGTACTTGTACTGTGAATACCTACTTCTTGCCTGGGAAATCAATAATGTTGATAGAATTTGCCTGCACGGGCTGCCTGCACAGTCCCTGAGCTGCACAGAGCCCGGTGCTTCGCTCCGTGGCTGTATGGCAGCCAACTAAAACTCCTCAGAGGTATTTTAATTTGCTGCACCCCAAAGTCATTTAAGGTACATTAAGCTGCCGAATGTGCTACAACTATATTGTTCCCCTTTGTCAGGGCTGATTGTTCAAGAATGCATATATTTAAAATGCTGGAGAAATGTTAATTGTTTAAACAACCACTGCAAGAAACAAGATACTAAATGGGATTTATGTGTTTTTTCCCTTTTGCTTTAGGATCATACACACAAAATGTATGCAGAGTAAAGGTTGTATCTAACTACAAGTTTATACCAACAGTAAAATTCTGTTGCACGTTAATCTGAAAAACTGATTAAAAAGAAAGAACAAATTAACGTAGTTACGCTTGGATAATTAGAACTAAAAGAAATATAGCTAAACATATCTGAGCAACAAGCAGCAACCAGTTTTCCATCTTTAGAAAGATTTATATATTTACAGTCTGGTGATACAGATGATAAAAATATTAGATAAAATTCAAGTAAGTTCAAGCTCTTATGTAGAAAAAACTGCCATCGACTTGAACAGATGTTACTTCTGGGTAAGTATGCAAGAATTAAGTGGATACTTAAAGGCCAAATATTTGAACTGTCAGCTATGTTTCCAATTATAAGCATGTGTATGTACACCCAAGAAGAGAATCAATGCTTTGAGTTTTTGTAAGGCTGACCAGAAGAGACTGATTGTGTTGTAGAGACTGACATAGTGCAGCCTCATTTTTAATGAAAAACAGATTTTCAGAGGCCAGAATAATGAGAATGGGAATTAAGAATTCAGTTTGGTCAACCTTGAAAATGTCCAAGAAGTTACTCGCTGTCAGTATGTATTCCAGCTACAATATATGAACACAAATAAAACAAATATAGTTTTTAAATAATATTTCTGAAATGTCACTAAAACAATTTTTTTTTAATACCAGGAAGATCATTTTCAACAGAAGTAGGATAAAAATAAGCTTATAATTGACGCAATAACAATTTGGAGTTCAATCCTACATAAACTGGCTACCAAGAGTAGTGCTTTTCATGTGTACCTCACTGAAGTCAGTGGGCTTACTTACGATGATAAGCACTATGTTTGGTGGCAAGTATTTACAGGATCAAGCCATAACAACACAAAGCAGAGCCACTGTTGTAGCACCAAACAGGAGAGGAAGTCCTACTTCATCCCTGCTGTTTCCAATATTCGTTAACCCACTAGCTCCTTTAGTATAAAATTTCTACAAGTTTGCTACAGCATTCCAAAAGGCTATTCTCTTAAGATCAGCATAACATTGTAAAATGTCTTACTTCTGTTATTAGGAAAGGTAAGTAGGAAGAAATAGTTGCATCTGAATTTCAGGACAGCAGCCACCATGCTATCAATAGAAAAATCTATTTCTTTTTGTGTGGATCAAGCTTGTCAAGGGAAGAAAAGGGTTAAAAGAGGAACTCTGTCAGTCTCACCTACTTTAAAAGATCATTTTACCTCTATCATGTTCAATACAAGGGAATGTTGGAGTCAGAATCATGCACGTACTCCCTTGGGCAGGAGCCAAATATAATTTCCCTGATGCAAGTATCTTGTGGGCCTTGCAACATCTCACCACTTGAAATTCTGCTCACTCCCTAGGGCTAGGGATAGAAGTTACACATAAACCGGTTTAAGTAATCAGAAAGTGGTTTAAACCTGTAACAGAACAGAAGTTCAGTGCACATAAGCCAGTTTCAAAATGGCCAAAAGTGGTTTAAGATAAACCTGGATGGATGTAGTATCAGACTTAACTGACTTGGGTCAAACTGATTTATGAAACTTCTGTCCCAGACCCCTTCCTGCTTTAAGTTAAATCAGAGTCCTCCAGCATCCCAGCATGCTCTGCAGCACTGGGATCAGCTGGGTTGGGCTGTCTGTTCCAGCCAAGCAGGGCTGGCCCTGCCCCTCTCCTCCCTAGCCAGAGCACTATCACTGCTTCAGCTGGCTAAGAAAAGGGTGGGGATTATTAGCGATGCGTAGAGGGTGTATACAGGTGCATGTGCACTCCCTGAGCTTGGCAGTGCACCCTCTGCAAAAAGCACCACCAATGCTGCTGGGGCACCCCGCACTTCCCCTTGCTGTTGACACTGCCAGCTGCGTCTGTGGGCGGTCCCTGATTGTCGCTGCTGACACTGCCAGCGGCCACCCACCCCCACACTGCCGGCACCACTGTGATTGCCTGCAGGAGCTCCCTGCTTGCCACCACCATGAGCCCACCACTGCCTGCAGGCTGTCACTGAGCTGCCACAGCCTCCAGGGGCATGCGGCATTCATGGTGGGGATGGGAAATCCTGCTCTGGAGTGCTGCCAGGTTTGTCTGGCAAGGGGGCACCAGCCCTTGCCAGGCATCCCCAGTCCCCCACCCTCCTCACTGCTCCAGCAGCAGGAGCAGGGGAGGGTCCAGACCCCGGTAGCCTGAGGGGAAGTAGGAATTTAATACCCTGTGGCAGGGTACTGTTTGTGCCTGCCACTTTAAGGGGCCAGAAGACAGCAGCCGGCAGATGCCTGATTAGGGAAGCCATTTTAGATTCAGGGCTGCCCATATAAACAGGGAATTTTGCTACTGGGACAATATCACCTGGCTGCAGGGCTACTGGTATCATCTGGAGGTAAGGGGGGAGCTGTAGGGAATGGTCAGGAGGCTCCTGGTCCTGGGTATGACCTAAAACTGCACCCTGCCAGGAGTGGGTGGCCTGGTGGGGCTCCCAGTGGCGCGGGAGACCCCAGGAAATGCCAGGCCAGTTACCACCCCGGTGAAAGGTGTGTCGGGGTGCTTTAACCCCTACCCCCCACAACCGGGTGGGTTACCCCCCTTTGTATGGTCTGGAAAGTGGACCCCCAGAGAGAGAAAGTGGGGCCATAGACTCACACCTGTCTGGACATCCCCTGACTGGTCAATGCTGGGGCCAGGACCGGAAGGGTCAAAGGGCCAGGGGCCCACCGTGTGGAATGACCAAGAGCTGAGGGCCTGGGGTTCCAAGTGGCCTGGAGGTGGGCCAGGGCTAGTAGCCAGAGGTCCTGGGGGGACCACACCCGTAAGGGGAAGCAGTTCAGGGAGCTATGCTGCCCAGGATGAAGGCAGAATAGGCCGCCTGAGGAGATTAATCCAGGCGGGGTTCAACTAGTAGAATTCCGGGGTCCAGTGCAAGGCTGGTGATATTGATAACATCTGGATGCCATCTGCAAGGCTTGGGCTGTGGTGTAGGGGAGGAACGGAGCAGCAGATAGCGCCCTCAGGCACTGAGGCAAGAAATGGGCAGCCTCCCGCTTAATTTACATCAATTAGTTAATTACTAACACAGCGTGGCAGGAAAGAAGGCGGGCAGTTAGCCCAGAAACAGGTGGGCAGGCCACTGGGAAATTGGCCCTGAGAAGGCCCCCTGTTACATACCCCTATTGCAGGGAAGGCAGCATAGGCACCAATAGGCTTCACTCATGTACCCAGGGCTGTGGCAGCCAGATGCCAGTAGCCTGAGGGAAAGGTGGGGGTTTAATCCCTGCGGTGAAGGCAGCACAAACATGGTGCCCTGGGCCAAGTCCATCTGAGGAGTGGCCAGCTGGCTGCGGGGAGAGGGGATGTGACCTGGCTGTGAGATGGGGTGGGGGGAGCTTGCAAGCACCTCCTCTGGACACTTTCAAGAAACATTTGGATGTTTATCTTGCTGGGATCCTTTGACCCTAGCTGATTTCCTGCCCCTGGGCAGGGGGCTGGACCCAATAATCTTATGAGGTCCCTTCCAGCCCTAATGTCTATGAAATCTATGAAGTGCTGCTACATTTATATGTATTAAGGTACTCCAGTGGCATAACTGTTCTATATTGGAAATCAATTTTTAGTACCTCTCAGGAGTCACTTTCTTCACAACCATAGCTTGGTAGGTAATGGCTTTCTTATCTTTGATGCCTGTATAACTGAAGTCTGAAGGAAGCACACCAAGTTCAGAAGACAAATAGCCAATTGCTTCTAGTGTTTCCAGATTTTCTTTCTGAAGGGTGAAAGCTGAAACAATGATCTCAAAGTTATTAAAAAACCCACATTCAAGTTATCCAAGGCCCCATACCATGAAGAATAAATAGCCTAGTGCCAGTTATTTATATCTAGATGTTACCTGCTACGAATATAGAAGGATTTTTTTTTAATCTAAATCTGTAGTTAAAAAAAGTTTTTTCCATGTCAAAAGAGAAAGATGTACATGGTAAGAGAAACTAACTAAGCTACAGAAACCAGAAAAGATGAGCTTAAGAACAACAGCATTTTTTTCAATGTTACCAACACAAAAATTTCTTCACTGTTATTCACTTAAAACAATTGCACAACTTTAATTACAAAACACCTAATGAAAAATTTAAAGAGAACATGAGATTTAATGTCAGTCTCTCTCTGACATATACTGCTCTTCTGATAGACACATTACTCTGAGTATCAGGTACTAGAGGCTTTAAGAAATACTGTCATGAGCCAAATTTGATTATCATAAGACTACGGGAAATAAAATCCTACCCTCTAACAGAACAGGTTAATATCAAAGTACACAGATTCTCCATCCTTAAGCAGCCAATGCATACAATGAACATAAGACAAAAAGTTAAATCTGGAAATAGTTCAATCATTTCCTTTGTGCAGTTTAATTTACAGCAACACTGATTCATTCCTCATGCCAATTTAAAACTGGTATTACACCACTTTTCTCAGTAGAATTACTCCTGATTTATGTACGAATAATAAAAGACCTGAATCTTCTTTCTTGTTTAAAAGTTTAATTATTTTAAAGGGAGCAATCTTATCCAAGAAAACCATGAAACTATTAAAATTCACCTGTATAAAGATTCTGTTTCTCCTGGCAATCAGCAGCTGGCCTTTTTCTGGAACACGTTTTCTCCCGAAATCTTACCATTATCGCTGTGTTTTGCTGACCACTGAAGTCTGTCACAGAAAAAGACTTTGTTTCTAAAAGTTTTCCAAATTTTTTACTGATGAAATGATGGACTGTCTTTCTGTGTTCCTTGTTTTCATCGGGCTTAAAAGAAAACTTAGAGGTCTCCAGTTTTGCATCTAAAAATTTAAAAAAATCATATGCTTCTTCTTCAGTAACAAACTGGCAAAGCTCTCTGTAATCAGCATTTGCTTTTACAATAATTTCACTGTTTTTTGTAACAGTCATTAGGAAAGGAAATTTCTGTCTTATGGCACTATGTAAGCAGGCTCGATTCTCCTTTTCAAAGATAGGCCCCAGTGAGAATTCATTAGAATAAGGAGTTTGATCATTTTCTGAATTCCACGCATCTTTTACATTGCAAGCAAACTGACTAAGCAGCTCGTTCACAGACTTGCTTAACAAGGAGTCCAACATGTCAGTGTCATCGATCCCACATTTAGGTATGGTTTTGGTCACACGTTCCTTTTTTTCTTTAACAGATGAAAGACATTCTTCTGAAGCATGACTTAGATTGTCCACCTGGCAATGTTCATCCTCTATGCCCAGTTCTGGGGCATTTATTCTTAACCTCTTGTGATGCTGCTGGTAGGGGCTCTTTTGTTCCAATGGAGTTTCACTGATAGCACAAGACGACTCAGTGTCACTAAGTAACTGCCCAAACACATCAATTTCTGTTACTACAAAGTCACTAGGATAGTTTTTCACACTACCACAAAAGCCAATGTGATCATTCACATAACTAAAAGAATTAAGCATGATTCCAGTGCTTGTTTCTACTTTGAACCTGAAATGACAAAATTTGCAAAAAGGACAGAAGATGGGTAATTAGCAGAGAAACACTTCAGAGAAGAGGCATAGGAATACTTTAATTTCTGCCCTTCCTACTTACTGAGAGACATTATTTCTTTTTAAAAAGTCAATTTAGAGAAATTTTAAAATCATTTAGCATGAGTTAAAAATGGAATGTTTCCTATGAGCAGATCAAAAACCACCTACAAGCTTGTTAGGCCTGTCATAGGTTGACCAGATCCAACACCATTGAAAAACTGCTAAGAATGAGTAGCACGTAAGCTTCCCAGGGCTGAATTAAAGACACTAAAGGTAAAATGGAATGAGCTCAAAAAGGTAACTGGAAAGCAAGCAGAAAAAGGTTTGTGGAAGAATAAGTAAATTTAGAAAAGAGAATTGGGGGTCGGACTCGATGATCTATTGAGGTCCCTTCCGACCCTAACATCTAACATCTATGAATAAGGAAATCCCAGGGTGGAACAAGGAGGTGCAAAGACCGGTCTGTGAAAGTACAAAATCATAGGAGAGGGGTGAGGTTTAAAGCCAGATCAAAGGAAAGCGGATCTAAGAACAGACAAATAGCCAAAAGGAAAAAAAAATAGGAAATTTACAGAAAATCTCAAGCACAAAGCACCAATCAGCAAGAAAGTTAACAAGAAAGGTGATTAGTTAAAAAATAAAAGCTCAAGGTTGACTTATGCAAGATGAAAATGATACGTTGGCAACTAACAGGGAATGAAAGTGTCTAGAAGAAAGATTTTGTCAAATTACTGCATGCTACTCTAGATATAAACCTCTCGTGTCCAGTCCTCGTCGCTCTCCAGCCCCTGCTGCAGCAGACTGTTGTGGGCAAAGATTGGGCTTATAAATCACCTGTGTACCCACGTGACCTAGCCTCCCCGCCCCACACCATCCTCTCTCTGCTCTCTTCTTTCTCCCTCACTTTTTCTTTCCTACTTCGTTTCTCTCTTCTCCCCCCAACCCCCGCTGGATGTGGGGATCTTCACTTGCGAAGGATGAACAACACTCTAGATGTAGATTATGATTTATGCCTGAGATTTAATAAAAATGAGCATGAAGATTTAGAGATGAAGCAGAAAGCAACTGCAAAGTGAGAACAGAAGCTGGTAATGGGGGACACAGCCATGGCAGCGGGGGGAAGCAGAGAAAACAACAGCTAGCTCAAAAGCATGCCCAAAGGACAGCAAGACAGAAACCAACTGTTGATTTGTTCCACGTTGTCAAGCGCTAAGTTTGTGGTGAGCTGGTGCATTTTAATAGGAGTCGCTTTTGATGGCTGCAGGAATGACTTTGCAGCTGCGGGTGGTTTCAACTTATTGCACCACTCACCACCAAATCATGCAATGTGTGTAACAGGGGCCTGGTGTAAAGGAAGGGCTCGTGTTAGAAAGGGCCTATCTGATGAAGACAGAGAGAAAAGCGGTGACTTAAGGGGGATGACAGGTACCAGGTGTCAAGAGGTCAGAGCCAGTCGTAGGAAGCTTGGACACGTTATGGAGGCAACTCTCTGAGGGCCCCGAGCCCGCAGGCAGACACGCACAGAGGGTGTCAGTCGTGCCCCACGGGCCCCTTCGCCTACAGCAGGGGCAGGCAATTATTTTGGGTGGAGGGCCACTTACTGGGTTTTGGCAAGCAGTCGAGGGCCGCATGACAGGCAGCCAGGAGCAGATAAATATTAATTTTCTAAATGTTTTTAATGGCCCCGCAGGCCAGATAGAATGGCCTGATAGGCCACATCCGGCCCGCGGGCCGCATGTTGCCCACCCCTAGCCTACAGCTCTCCACCCCCCCCCCGGCAACAGCTCAGCCTAGACCCAGCCACGCGCCGCCCCAGCGGCGGCACGGGAGGGACCAGGAAAACCCGGAAGCTCCGCCCCTGCTCAGGGGTTTGCCCACGCGCGAGGAAGCCGGCCGCACATGGACAGCACCACAGTCCCGAGCACGCGGGAAGGAAGGGTGGTCGGACCGTACCATCCGCTTCCACGCAGTAGGAAGGAGTCGGGCCGCGTTCCGGGTTCACTACTCTCCTGTCTGGCACTGCACCGTCTGCGCAGGCGCGTGTTTCTTAAGAGGAAGGTGGCGGGCTGCCCTCCTAGGCCTTCTTAAAGGGGAAGCCGAAGTAGGAAGTCCCCGAGTTGAGCAATGGCGGGGCGGGGAGCGCCGGGGCCCGGGCCCGGGAGGTGAGGGGCCGCTGCGGCCTGTCCCTGCTTCTCGCGGGGATCCGAGTGGGGCGGGCGGGCGCGGTC